ATTGCAGCACAAGTTTGATTTCTAGCCAGTGACCCCCATGGGGCAGCAGACCTCTCCTAACCCACCTGCTGCTATCCTCAGCAGTATCTTTCACTTGCTCTGCCTGTTCTGCTCCCCACTCTGTGTCTGGTGAATGCTCTCACCCACCCACTCCCCCCCCCACACACACACCTCTAGAATGCATCCCAGTACTTGGATGCATAAATAAATAAATCTTTTAAAAATTTTTATAAATATTTGTCAAGATTACTTTAGTTATCTCTCTTTTCTCTTGAAATATTTTCAATAACATTTATTCAGTTGCCTAGTTCATCCAGGTTGCTCTAACAAAATATAGAGGCAGGTTGACTGAGCCAAATACATACTCTCATGGCTATGGAAACTGGAAGACCAAGATCAAAGTGACTGCAGTGCCTATGCCTATTAAGGGCCTACTTCCTGAGTTCATAGATGGTCTTCTCTTCACTTATCCTCACAAGGAAAACGTGACTTATCTCTGGAGTGTCCTCTATAAAGTACTAATCTCATCCCATGCATGATAGTCCTACCTATAGATCACTCATAGGTATCAACTCCTAATACCATCATTATACTGGGAGATTAAGAGTTCAACATATGAACGGTGGAAGCATTCACTTCTTAACATTCTGCCCTTGCACCTCCCCAAACTCATGTCCTTTTCCTACATAAATACACCCCAACAATCCCAAAAGTCTTAACTCACTTTAGCATCATCCTTAAAGGTTACATCTAAATCTAAAATCTTATCTAAATCACATCTGAATCTGTGAGTGAGGCTTGGATTACAATTCATCCAGTGGTAAATTCCTCCCTGAACTGTGAGTTCCTGATTCAAAAGAGAGAAAGAAGAAAGAAGAATTGGGTAATAAGCACCAAATAGATAGAAATCTTAACAGGAAGATGCCATTAAACCTTAAGCCTCAAGAAAAATCTTCTCTGACTTGATCTGCTTTCCAGACCCACAGGGATGACAATCTTGCCCACATGACTGGGCAGAGGGCTGTCAGTGATGTGACCCTACCCATGTTGCAGTTCTCAGAATTGACCCCACTCATGGCAAGACTCTCCTAGGTGAAACCTAAGTCTCAGCTGCTGCAGCTCCTCCCCCCCAGAAGCTCTAGGCAGGATACCCTTCCCCACCCAAGCCAGAAAGTCATCTCCACCTTTAAACTGCTCTGTAGTATCACTGAAGAAAAGGTCCAGGAACTTGGAGATGTAGAAATTAAATCTAATTTACCTAAATCAGAATGGATTTTAAGAGAAAAGATGACATAGTCAAACAGCGCTTGCGTGTGTGTGTGTGTGTTTAACAGACATAGAAGCTGTAGGCATCTTGATCTTGGACTTCCAGCTTCTATAACCATAAGAAATAAGTATTTGTTTCAGTCGCCCAGTCTTTCTCTCTGTAATGGGGATACCAGAAAGAATAATTAGAGAGGGAGAATGTAAACTTTGGGGAAAAAATAACGTTAGAAAAATTATCAAAATTATTGAAAGCTATAGATCCACATATTACAATATCACAATGAATTTAAATAATATAGACACAAACACACACTCCAGTAAGGTAGGGGGTCACAATAATTTTTTAAAAAAAAAGTAGAAAGGGGGCCCTCCCTGGTGGCGCAGCGGGTTAAAGCACTGCACTGAGAAGCTAAAGCCACTTCCGCATGAGTTCAATCCCCACCTGCCCCGGAGGTGACCACATGGCGTGGCAGACCTCTCCTGACCTGCCCACTGCTCCCCTCAGCAGTGTACTTCGTTGATCTGCCTGTTCTGCTCCCCACTCTGTCTCTGGTGAAGTCTCTCACTGCCCCTGAGTCTCTGGCCTGTACCCCAGTTCTGTATGTACAAATAAATAAATATTTAAAAAAAAAATAGAAAGGGGGAACCATATAAAACACTGAAGGACATATTGCCCACACTAAGACATTTACTTTAATTTTTCAGACTATGTATAAATGTAATTTTCACATGAGTCATCCAAATTTCCTTTTAGAATTGGTAGGACTATGACAGGTAGGAACAAAATTTTATTGTAGGTAAAGAAGTTTGTTGGATTTGTTTATAGACTAAGCATCATCTGGATTCAAGATTTTAAAGAATCTAGGAGTAAAGTCAAAATTGAATACCTTGCAAATCAGGAAAGGAATAGTTCACCTAAACTAGAAGGATAAAGAGGCAAAATAAGTAGCTTGGTAAAGAAAGGTAAAAGACATTTCAGCAACAATGCTGGCAAGAGAGACTTTTCTTTGGTAGCAGAATCTGGAGTTTCTCAAAGTAAAGAATCCTTCCGAGGTAGCCAACATCTGGAAAGAGCCTGAACTTGGGCTCTGGAGAGCATCTGTGATCTGCAAATAGAACATTCCCCACCTGGAAGCTGGTTTTTATAAGGCATTATAAAGTAGCTAATTATTTTCAGACTTCAAATCCTGAGTTCTGCTCCTGTTTCAAAAGGTTGCTTGTTTCTCTCCTTGCTTTATTATTCCCACTTGTTCATCATCAAAAGTAATGACTGATTGCAACTTCCTCCTTTATCATCCAAACCATGCTGAGCAGAACTACCAAATCAACCCTTCCTAAATGCTGCCTTTATCATTTTTGTTTCAGTTTCATCGAACACCTTCAATACTCCACTCTCATTTTCCACCAAATGTGAACATGACCTGATGAGCAAGATCTGCTAACATATGTCCCTATTAGACTTATCCACTTTTATTTCTTTAATATTTGGTGATTTAGTCATTTTATCTTTCCCTCCATCATTATTATATTTGCTTCTAGAACTTTACTCATCATCTCCATGCTTTCTCTTTTTCCCTGTATTTATTCATCCTTCAGATACCACCAACTACACTTAGAGTTTTTCCTCTTGTTTTTATCCTGCTTGAGAATTACAATAGGAATCAAAATCTTATTTATGTTTAGATTAATAGTTAATTTTTCAGATCAATTGTACAATGTTTGTATTAATCTTTTATTTTCATTCATATAATAAGTTTATTTAGAGTTAAGGCTTTCTTTTTTCTTCTAAGGTCTCCCATACCAAACAGAATATTGAAGTACAAAAAGATAACCAATTGCTGATTTATTAAACCATCAAATGCACAATTTAAATAAACTCATTAAATAATTTTGAGCTATTCTTCCAAAGATTACCCCTTGATTACAATAAATTTGATTCAAAAAGGTAAGAAACATGTAACCTAAATTAGATAGATAACTTCCCTTATAGTTACATATATAAAACTTTTTTGTAGCCAGTTTCTAATTACAAATATTTAAAGTCAGGCTCTGGAATTGGATCTCTTAGGTGGAAAACATCATCTCTGTTGATGATATCAAGATTCCCATGATTTTTTGTGGTAGATGATGAAGCCCCAGATCAGAATGATATAGAGGAAGCATGATGACATGAGTACACACTGATTTAGAGAAAAATCTTTGTCCAGCAACTTAACAGAAAATTATTCATCAACACACTATGGTCTGTTTTTGAGTGCTTTAAATTAAATGGTGATAAGGTCTAGAGGGATAACTTTTCATTCTCTTCTGATTGTGAAGAGAGTACTTAGAAATACTCATATTTAAAAGCACAAGCTCAATTCAAAAATTGTACTTGTTATCTTCCCAATCTTTTAGAAAAACAAAATTGTGTTGGCTATTTCCCTGTACATATCCATGTTAGCTCAAGATCATGGAAGTTAAATAATATGTGATACTTCAGGAAATCAACAGTAAGTAGATTTCAATGGCAATTACATTGCTACCATAGTCTAATCTTTGGTTTATGTATTGAATATTCATGCTTGTTTGACATCATTTCCAGTTTCCATTCAGTTTTTCTCTGTACTGTGATTTTTGTTTCTATATTATAAAAATATAACACACAATTTTGTGTCAGTGACCAAAAATCATCCTCTTCTGTTTTATAACAAGCTGGAATTATGAGTGAGTAGAGGCATCAAAGATATGATGTACATTACATAGAAATAAAAATGCAGTACCTATATTCATTGTGTAGGAAATTATTGTGCTTGAATTAAATAATTCATTCCATCTCTTGAAGCTAGAGAGCAAACACCAGAAAAATCACCAATTGGTCCATTTGAACTGTATATATATATATATATATATATATATATATTATATATACATATATAATATATAATATATATTTATATAAAATGGATATACCTACAATAAACAATGAGATTGCAAATCCCCATTCCTTTCAGTGGGTATTCTTTAATGTAGCAATTTAGAAATGAAAAAAAAATCACCAAATTCCTTCGAGTCTGGACTAAAGGAGTTATCAGAGAAAATGTTGTACATTTGGACCTTGAATCAGTTGCAAGTTTTGTAAAAATCAGGCATATTGTAAAAAAAAATAGCTCAATAGAAAATCTGCTTTTCTATAGGTGCTATTGTACAATCACACAGAGAACTGCTGCTAAAATCAGAAGAAAGGGAGAGAGAGAGAATCTCATTTTGAAATCAGTCAAATTAGTATACTTTTCATGAGACTGTAAAGAAAATAAAGGAATGGTTTAAACTTATTAAATTCTTTTGTTAAGCAGCCCTCAGTGTGACTAGATGAGATCAGTGAGGATCAGAATTGGGTTGAAGTCAAATGGATACTGTGACAATTTTCTCTCTTCTCTTGAGATTCCTTAAGTGCACATTTCACCTGAATTAATTGTATGAATCATAAACTTTAGAAATAACTAATTCTCAATAATGTACAGAGAATAAGAGTCCAGGCACAAACCTCCAGAGAACCAATTACTGGTTTCTCGACTTGAACATTTTTGTAAGAGATTTTCATCAAAGAACATAAATGTGTTCTTTGGAACCATTTTCAAAGTGGAAAGGGACCATTTTCTTTCCTGCCCGTTTAAATTCAGTACCTTGCCTGACCCAGTCTCCACAATGAAGTGTGTGCTCTACTGTGTGACAACATTTGTGATATCCAGAGAGCAGCTCTGTCCAGTTAATGGTCACAGTGGCTTCCTCATCTTCACATGTACTGGCAGGACGCTCAAAAAGGGAAATCAAGGCTGTTGTGAAGACAATTGCTTGAACCTTGAGAGAGATTGAAAGAAAATTACACAGGAGCAGGGTGATTATTGTCAGACAATTCTATGTGCCTTAAAGTTAATATAGAATAGATATTAAATTAGTATGAATTTATTAAACGTTACCAAAGGATGCTGACAGTTACACGAAAAGACAAAACAACTGAAAGATTAATAAAGCAATTTATCAAAGGCAGTTCATTATTTGCTTTTATGATGTATTTGACATTGAAAACAGTAAGAATGTCCAATTTTCACAACTATTAAAGGAAACTGACTGTTCAAATTAGACTGCTTCAGACTTCACAGAGCCACGTGAATACTAATGTCATTTAGTAAGTAATAATTTTTCAGAGGTCAGGTGGTATTTGATAGGGAATACATTTAAATCAATGTATTCAATGTCTGGGTTTCAAGTCTACCCTCCCTACAGTATCTGTCCCTTCTGTAACAAGGTGGCCCCCAGGGAAAGGGAAGGTTTCAGTTTCCTTGCCCCCCTAAGGAGTGGATTTAAGCAGGGAGGAGGAAACCTGGAAGGGAGACTGGAGAAGGAAGAAAGTTGGGGAGCAAGAAGGAGCACTGGAGGAGGTACACGGAGCAGAGAGACTTACCAAGAAGCTGCCTTTGCTTCGTGGTCTTGGTCTCATTGAGACACGTGGGTGAGAGACCCGTGGGAGGTTAATGGAAGCATCTTTTATCTTGATATTATTTTTTTTCCTTCTGTCCTAGATATGCTGGTTCCTTTATACCCCTTTCCTATGGGTCCCCAACAGGATGTGCCTTAGAATGGTGGCAGGTTTTGGGGTCAACCTGGTTTGGCTGGATATTTACCCCTGAGGGGATAGGGAACTTTGGGCGCTTGATTTGGAAACTATTTTATATATTCTTTCCCACCTCATCTCTTTATTGCACTCTAGCTCTATGAAGGTTACTTTCCATTTTAGGACTTACTCACTAGCATATGTTTTTCTTGATGTGACAGGTGGCAGAATTGATATAAAGCAGGCAGGTTTGGGGTTCGTAGGGTGCCCCACATCCTGCCCTGTAACACTTCATTGCATGATACAAGAAATAACATTTCCCAAGAAACTGGTACTGAGAAATCTGAAACTATGTGGATGAAAACCTGAAAAAAATAATTTTAAAGATATGTGACAGAATATTTTAGAAGTTAGCATTAAGTGTTTATGAATATTAAGGTTTAACAGATTTAACATCCTATGGCACTAAAAGTTAGTAGTGCCTTTTGTCTAAACAGGCAAGCTAAAATCACAATACTGGCTTTTATAAGCATCTTTTATAAGCATAAAAAGGAATTATTACCTAATTCTACTTTTCTATATCCAACATGTGTAACCTTTTAACCTATATTTTAGTGAAATTACCAAAAGGAGTTCACATTCATTGCATTTGATTTCTATTTTGAGATAGAATTTGCTGGTTGTTTATATTATAAATTTTAATCCTTCTCTCACTTACCTTTCCTTTTATGTCTCCAAAAGATAGAATTGATTCATTGGCATCAAGAGGGTCATACCAATAATCCATACAAATTGGTGTTCCTTTTAGGCCTTGGAGTTTATATTGACAAGGAAATTCTCCTTTGGACAGCAAATCATAGAAACAAATCTCTTTACTTGTAAAAGCCACTGCTATCTAAAGAAAATCAAAAGGCATTTCTGATGGACTTCGTGGAATCAATATACAAAGCAGATATGCAAATACTAGAACTAAGTCAGACATCACTCCCTGATGATCTTAATGGTTTACAGAAGTATAACATGATGGGACAAATGTACTTTATTCTAACTTTGGAACCTAGACAAGGCTTATCACATTAATGTCATTTGAACATATTTTTTTGCCAATCACATTTCACATATCCCTCAATTTCTATTAGTGGAACACTAATCACATAGGAAAGACAAAAACACAAAAAAAACTACAGTGTCAGTCATATAACAGAAATTTTAAAATGCAATCAGAATCTTTCAAAAATCAATTGATTATTTGCAAATACTCTTCTTAAGTCTTATAAAATCCTAAAAGATCTTTTAAAAAAGGTATTTTTGCTGATAATTTAGCTACACTATTACAGAAAAAAAGAGAGATGACACACATTGCTAACATCAGAAACAAACCAAAAAATAAATAAATAAAATGCCCATTACTATAAACCTTATAGAAATTAGAAAGGATTACAAAAGAATACAAACAAACCAGATAACCTAGATGAAATTATAAAATGCTTAGAAACACCAAAATTACCCAGCTCAAAAGAAACCGAAAATCTCAGCAAAAATATGTAAACAAAAAAAGTCACAAAGAAAAAATTTAACTCAAATGATTTACCTAATAAATGTGAACAATCTAAAAAATTAACACCAATGTTTCAAAAATTCTTCCCAAAAAATAGAAGTGGAAGGAATAATTCCCAAATCAGTTTATGAGGCCAGTACATTATAAGAAAAATATATATTGATAGCACACGTAAATGTAGATGTAAAAATCTCAAATTAAATCCTAGCAAAGAGAACTAAGCAAATGAAAAAAACAATAATAACATACTGTGACCATGTAACATTTCTACCAAAAAAAGCAAGGTTAGCTTAATATATATTATCGATGTACTATATCATATTAATAAAGAGAATTATGATTATGTCAGTAGATAATTAAAAAGCATTTGACAAAATCCAACATATTTTCTTCATAAGCTATTCAACAAATCAGAAATAGAAGGGAACCTCTTCCATCTGAAGAAAATCTATACCAAAAAAACTATAGTTATGTCATACTTAATGGTAATAAATGAATATTTTCTCCTTAGTTTCAGGAAGAAGATAAGAACACCATATCTGTTCAACATAGTACTGAAGTTTCTAAACAGAAAAATTAGAAAAGAATTAAAGTGAAGGATACTCATATTGGGATGGGAGAGGTAAACCTACATTAGTATATGACACAATCTTATACAAAGAATTTAGAATTACTAAGGAATGAACAAAAAAAGCAACTAAAACTAATAAACCTATCCCATAAAGTTTCAAGATATAATATTACTTTTTAAAATTCTATTGTATGCATATGAATTAGCCATGAAAAATCTGAAAATGAAGTAATTATCAAAGATAATGTTAGAATGAACAAAGCACAGACTGCAATACAATATTGCGAAATAGCCATCTGATAAATGTATAAACTCAGAATAAAGAACTATCAAACCTTAATAATTACAGAATACACAAAATAAAATAAATTAACAGAATATTCGAACCTATACTTGCAAACAGAATCTAAGAGTAGCAAATCAGCATGTGAAATTATACTCAACATTATTAATCATCAGGGAAATATGAATTAAAACCACAATAAGATAAAACTACAAACCTATTAAAATTGGCTGAAATTTAAAGCACAAAATCTTGATCATATTAGGTGTCACAGGTTATATCCTATGTCTTTATACCCATATAATGGAACACTGAGTAACAATAAAAAGATAAAGTTCTGGGGCCTTCCTGGTGACACTGTGGGTTAAACACAGCACTAAGAAGCTAAAGCCACTTCAGCAAGAGTTCAACCCCCATTCCGAGGTGACCCACACAGCACGGCAGACCTCTCCTGACCCGCCTGCTGCTGCCCTCAGCAGTGTACTTCGTCATTTTGCCTGTTCTGTTCCTCACTCTGTCTCTAGTGAAGCCTCTCTCTGCTCCTACATCTCTGGCCTGTACCCCAGTTCTGTATGCATAAATAATTAAATCTTAAAAAAAAAAGGTTGATGTATCCAACATGAGTGAACTCAGTAATTATGCCAAGACATTACACAAAATGGCTATATACTGCATGATGCTGATTGTATAAAAATTTAGAAAATGCAAACCAATTTGTAGTTAGAGAAAACATATCGGAAGTTGCCCAATAAGAAGAGATTGGAGTAGTTTAAGGGGGAATTATAAAATAGGACAAGGAAACTGTTGAGGGTAATGAATATGTCCATTATCTTTATTATATTTTTGACTCTTCACAGATACATACATACATTAAAATCTATATTTAATCTTTAATATATACATCTTATTGTACAAGTTCGAGCTTGAAATTTCAATAAATTTGTGGTATGTTTTCCAGTAAGAATAGCATATATCAAAAAACTAGCAACAACAAATGTTGCAAGGATATGGTGAAAAATTCACTCTCCTGCACTGCTGGTGGGAATGCAAATTGGTCCAACTACTAGGGAAAGTTTCATGGAGGTTCCTCAAACTATTAAAAATGGAGCTACCATATGACCCAGCAATTCCATTCCTAGAGATCTACCCAAAGGACACACACAAAAAACTTATTCAAAATGACACCTGCACCCCTGTGTTTATTGCAGCACTATCTATGTCAAGATGTGACATGTGTGTGTATATGTGTGCGTATGTATGTATGTACATATATATATAATGGAATAATACTATATACATATATACATACTATTATATACTAATATGCAATTAGTATATATTAATATATACAATGGAATACTCTTCAGCAATCAAAAAAGATAAACTAACACCATCCACAACAATATGGATGGAGCTAGAAGGAATTATGCTCAATTAAATGAATCAGAAGGAAAAAGAAAAATATCAGAGGATTTCACTTGTAGGAGGAAAATAAGGGAATCAAATAAGGTATCGGGGAAAAAATAATAACAAAAAAAAACGATAAAAATAATCAGACAACTATAAACTAAAGACATTCTGCAGGGTAGGAGGAGGAAGAGGGATTGAATGAGGGAGAAAGAGTTCATAGAGGACTGTGGGATGGTGCATGGGTGAATTGGTAGTGGAAATTCTATGAGGATTACACCTGAAAAGAGAAGGCAAAAATTGCTTAAAAATGAACAATAATGTAAAATATATAAAAATTTAACTTTTTTAGTGGTGTAATGTTTTTTATGTAAGCTCAATGAGGCCACTAAAAAGGCAGGAGAAGCAACATTCTTTAAATTTTTATGATAAATAAGGAAAAAGGAAAGGCTAAGATTTAGTGACAAGTCCTGGAAAGAAAAGTACAGCACAATCACAATATAATAACACAATATAAGCATGACATGATAACAACAGAATACTGCAAACCTAGACTAGAGCTCTTTTAATCCATATATATTAACACTAATACTAGACTCTCAGAAAGAAAAAAACTGGATATGATTTTGTAGGAAAAATGAGCTATAACTCAGGTGCTTTATTACCTTCAAAATGTTAGCCCATAAACTTGAAATGTATTAGTTGTTTTCCACCTTTCCAACATCCAGCAAATAATATTCAATACAACATTCAATACATTTGCCTGATGATTAATAATGTTGAGTGTACTTTCATGTGCTGATTTGTTACCCTTATATCTTTTTTTTTGGTTTATTAATTTATGCATACAAGAATTGGCCAGAGGTGTGAGGGATGAGAGGATTCACCAGAGACAGAGTGGGCAACAGAACAGGTCGATTGACTGAAATGCACTGTTGTGGGGAGCAGCGGGCCAGACATGAGAAGTCTGCTGCACCACTGGTCACCTCCCTGGCCTAGATCAAACTCATGCTGCAGTGGCTGCACAGAGCTTCATAGGACTGTACTTTAATCCAGAAGCCACCAGGGAGACACACACTCCCCCTTATGTCTTCTTTGTAAGATATAATTATCTTACAAATCTTTGCCCATTTTTTATTGTGTTTATTTTGTAATTAAGTTTAGAGAGTTCTTTATTCTGGGTTCATACATTTATCATAGACGTACTTCACAAATTGTATTTGAATTCACAGTAATGTATCACTGTGTGTCTCTGGGAACTTTTAGTACAAAGGGACTCGTAGCTCATTTGCTAATTTCATCTTTTGGTCTTTCTGGTCCCTGCTTCAGCATTAAATGCATGTCATATATCCCTAAGTCTCCAAGATTAATTTTCCATCTGCCCAAAACAACAGTGAACCTGCCTGACCTGAAATGAATGTACAATAGATATCAACTGCTACCATACAGTCAGCAAAAACTGACACACGTGTTCTGAAGTCATTGAACTGATAGCCTCAGTTCACCAACTTTGTCTATAATGATTACACCTTCTGTGACGCCAGGAAAATTTCACAATCTTTGTTTGTCCTATCTCACATCCTGGTGATCTTGAGGGGCCTGATTGAGCAGGGCAGGCACATAGGGAGTTAAAGGTGATAATGGTAAATCTTTATGGTTTCATTCAGTGCAACATTCTAGTTCCTACTAAAAAGAACTTGACACTGAAGAAATGTCTGTTCTGAATCTAGCACAGTAAATATACAAAGAGATGGAAAACATCTTGTCATACCTGGAAGCAAAGAAGCTTTCAAAGATTGTTAGGATGACACCAAAAAGGACTTCAAAGCTAAGTTGTGTTATTTACCACTGTCCAGAACTAGTACAATTCTTGGGGTGGGATGTTAACTTACTGTACAGAAACAAATCAAATTTGTTTAAACCCATGGGTTTATAATGATACTGAGAACAATAATAACAGTTATGAAGATAACTGAAGATGAAGAAGAGTTCATTATTTCTGGTAAATAAGCATAAATAATTAGGCAGTTTACCTATCCTTGTTAAAGATTTTATACTCCATGATACCTAAATCACTGAGGAGAATTCCTTTTTATAGTGTTACTCCAACTTATAAAAGAAGAGGAAATGATAAAATTAGAATATCATTATCTTCTCATTCCTAATAGAGCAATAGATCTTGGAGTAATCAGCAATAATTGTAATCAGCAATAATTGTAACCAAGAAAAGTAGCCAGATATCCTGAGGCTCTTGAGTAAGAGACACCCATTCCAAAACAAGCCAATTAAACTTTAAACTTGACTAGCTGCTTACTGGAAATGCAAGGATCAAAAAGAGGATATGATGAAAAAATAATAATAATAATAATAATAATAACCTTATGTAAATTTAAAGTGCACAATTTAGACAGACTGTCTCCTTTAACAAAATTGTCAAAAGCACAACAATGAAAAATGCACTTAAAAGGGAGAAAAATATGTAGGTGGAAAGGACTTATCATTCATGATGTTTAGACATTTTTACTTCTTGATTTAAACAAACTACCAAGCAAACAATCAACAAATTATTTATATTTGACAGATAAGTGAAACTCAGATAGCTTTCAATGTCTGACTTATTTCACTTAAAGTATAGATATCTGTTCATAATATTATCTCTACTTTCATGTGAGTTTAAAATTTTTCACAGTAAAATTTATCATCTGCTTGATAAAGTACTAAGAATATGAAATCTTTAAGTTTCATCTTTTCTTCACAAGCTTTTCTCTTGTTATGTTATCTTGCTCATAGCAAGTTATGTGAAGATATTTGGACTATGCTGACCTTACCTATAAGAACTAAGAAACTAAAGAGGACAATGATCAAAATCAAAGAACCAGTTTCTAGTAATAGCAGTGAGCTGAGCCCCGCACTGTTACAATCTCTCAACTCTGCAGCTAGGCTCATGATCCTATTGTAATCTGTAGACTGGTGACGGTCTTATCTGCTAGAATAGCATGGCCACATTTGGGACACAGCCAAGAATTTGAGTTATTAGTGGGAATCTTTATAACAACCCCAAGAGAACATCTTAGGAGATCAACAAGCTCACTTTGTTGTACCTGTATTCATTTGAGGAAAAGAGGAATAACACAGCACCTCTCACTGCTAGCATTCTACTTGGTATTGATCAGGAGCCCTCTCTCATCTCCTTTCCCCTTTAAAGGAGTACATTTATTTAGAAAGACTTTGTACCTTGTTAACATTTTCCAGAGAAACCAGACTTGTCACCCACAGGTGTTTGAGCTTTATGGCATCTGAAGTTATGGGAAATGATTCTTGCAGCTTTAAATTCTCTCCCCAGATTCCTAATAAACCTTCCTTACTAATAGTCAGATAACGACCTGAAGTTTTTAAGAAAATAACTTTTTGAATGGTGTCCTTGTGTTTCCCTGGGAGGAATTCCAGGTCTTTCCACTCAGGAACCACAGTCGCCTTTGCTCGTTCATCTTTCTCATAAAGTGCCATCAGCATAAATGAAGTCAGCTTGTCCCAGCTAATGAAGCCATCTTGGGTCACATCCACTTTGTCAAAGAACTCCCCATATTTTTCCTTTGAGCCCCAACCAACAATCTCTATCATCTTCTGTATAAAATCTTCTCTGGACATAGAAATGGGATGTCTTGGGTCTGTAGGCTAGAAATGAGAATAAAAACAAGGCAAAAATGAAAGCATCATAAGTACCAAGGAATTGTACGACTACTCCCAAAGAAGGTTCTTATTAGTGCAAAGATGCAAAATAAAAAAAAAAATTGTCTTTCATTTTATAAAAGCAGAAGTCAGAGAAACACAGATCAAGGCAAGGAAACAGATATTCCCTTAGAACCTCATGAAAAGACATTGAGTTTAACATTTAAATCTCATTGTAGACTTCTGACTTTAGTATGATAAAATTAAAAAGTGTGTGTTTAAGCTACTAATTTGTTGCAGCAGCAATAATAAAATAAGACAATGGTTTGTAGAATTTGGGTGAATCCCTGAAGAGTTTAGCATACCCAATAAAATTGTACTACAGTGAACTTTGACCTAAAGACAAGAATTCCACTTATGTAATATACCATTACAAGGACAGTGAAACCATATTCATTTGAATTTTGTTATTCATGTCAGTTATGTTTCATCGTCTCTGAAAATATTGCATTAGCAAATACTGAAACTTTGATCCTTAAAAGGCTCAGGTTTCCACAAGCCTTTCCTAACAACACTTTCACCAACTAATCTATATGTAATTTTATGTATGTCCCTGTTGACTTAATGTATATTGTTAATTCAATGGTGAAGTCATGGCCAATAACTCTATAAATGTGATCTGAGCAAAATTTATCTACTACATCACAGCCTTCTTGTAATTAGGAACACTAATACAGGTTCTTATAACACTTTACTTGGGGGACATTTTAAACAGTGAGATCACCAAAAAAAAAAGTAAATACATTGTTAGTAAGCAAACTACATAAAGGAACTTGCTTAATGTAGAGAACTGAAATAAGACAGCAGTGTAATTTTCTTTGAACTCAGCCTGGAATGAGTATATTATACATTATTTGCCACTCTGCACTTGTCTATGAATATCTGAGCATGAAAATCCCATGGGTATTATATTGAAGTTACAAATACACTTTGACATATAGGTACATTTGCAAATATGAAAAAAGTGAAAAATGAGAATAAACTATTTCAAATAAGTATGTAGCTTAATATGAAAGGCTGTTTGGTGAGAATCATGATGAGAGAATCAAATTTTCCTACATCTCAGCCAAGAATCAGGGTTCATAGCAAACACTGGGATAAAGCATAATCCTACAATTGTGGGCTTAGTATCTTTTATCTATAAAATGGAGATAACTATAGCAAGAAACTTGTTTTGAGGATTAATTGACATGTCACTAGACGTATAAGATGGATTTAAGAAATTACAAGACTCATCCATGATATAAATTCTCAGGAAACAACAAAGAGAAATGTCCTTCATTTTACACAAAACATCTACAAAATAAGTATACAATTAGCATGTTTAATGATGAGAAATGCAAAGCTTTCCCACTAAGGTAAGTTAAAAAGTATGTCCCGGCCCTCCCTGGTGGCGCAGCGGGTTAAAGCACAGCACTGAAAAGCTAAAGCCACTTCCGCATGAGTTCGATTCCCGCCTGCCCCGGAGGTGACCACATGGCGTGGCAGACCTCTCCTGACCCGCTCGCTGCTCCCCTCAGCAGTGTACTTCATCAATCTGCCTGTTCTGCTCCCCACTCTGTCTCTGGTGAAGCCTCTCGCCACCCCTGAGCCTCTGGCATGATTAATAATTAATTATAGCAATATTACAAAATACAATGCTAGAATATAAAAGCCAATCACATAACAGCAATAGTGAAATTTGATATTAAAACTACAATATCATTTCTATTATCTCACACAACAAATAGTTAAGAGTAAATTGGAGAATAGCTACATATGATTTATATGAGGAAAACTATAAAATTCTGATCAATGATCTCAAGAATAATAAATGTCCCATGTTCAGATGTAGTAAGATTCAATATTATCAGCCTCACTTCTTCCCAAAGTAATCTACAGAATCTATGCTAAAATTTGTATGGAAATGCAAAGGTACAATATTGATGGATAAGAGCACAGTTGGAGAGCTGACTATCAGGCTCAAGACTCTCAATGTACAGCAACCAAAACAGTGTGACATGAGTATAAGAATAGGCAAAGAGAGCAATTAAAAAATAGGGTCCAGAAATAGACACCACAAAGGTGAAAAAGATAATACAATGGAGAAAAGATGCTACATTCAACAAAGGGTACTGGAGCAACTGAAGGGCCACATACCTAAAAAGAAATGAATTTAGAAGGATATTACACTCTTTATAAAAATTAATTAAAAAATGAAGCACAGGGTTTTATACAAACAAAAAGCTTACAGAAGATATCATAAAAACTAACCTAGATGACTTTGAGTTTGATGATGAGTTTTTAGATGCAGTATCAAAGACATGACCATAAAATAATTCATAATAGAGATTCCCATATAAATAAAAACTTCTGTCCCACAAAATGAAATGTTAAAAGAATAAGATAAGCCATTGGCTTTAGAAAATATTTTTAAGGTACATCTGATTAAAAACAAAACAAAACAAAACAAAACAAAAACTCTGTACTAAATATACAACACTTAAAAATCAACAATAAAAAATAAACTTCTCTAATAAAAAAAATCAACAATAAGAAAATAATCCAATTAAAAAGTGAAGCAAAATCATTAATAAGCATCTTACCAAAGAAGATGTATTGATGACAGATAAGTGCATGATATCACTTCACACTTATTTAAAGGGCCAAAATCTGAAACACTGATAACAGTAAAATAATTACTGATGGCCTGCCCTGGTGGCACTACAGATTAGGAAACAGCACTGCAAGCGAGCCTTAGCTGCTTCAGTGCAAGTTCGATCCTCATCAGGGAGGTGACCCACATGGCGAAGCAGACCTCTCCTGTCTCACCAGCTGATCCCCTTAGCAGTGTACTTCATCAATCTGCCTGTTCTACTCCCCACTCTGTCTCTGGTGAAGCCTCTCACTGCCCCTGCACCTCTGGCCTGTATACCAGTTCTGTACGCATAAATAAATAAATCTTAAAATATTAATAAATGTTGACAATACCATAACAGATGCATGTTACAATACAAGGTGTACTTAAACAACAATTCTTGTACTTTGTCCATTTGAATGCAAAATCACGCAACCACATTTGAAGACAGTTTGGTGGTTTCTGACAAAACTAATTATGTTCTCATCCTATCCAAAATTCACACTGTTATTTTTCCAAAGAAGCTGAAAGCTTATATCCATTTAAAAACCTGTGTTGTATGTCTACAGCAACTTTACTCATAATTGCCAATTTTTGCACATAACTGAGATGCCCTTTAGTAGGTGAATGGATAATACATGTGATATAACCAGAGAATAAGCTATTAAGTATTAAAAGAAAGCAGTTACCAAGTCATGAAAGACCTGAAAATACATATTATTAAGTGAAAGAAGACACTATGAAAATACTAAATATAGTAAGATTGCAACTACATGACATTTTGGAAAAAGCAAAACTATTGAGACAAGGTAAACATTTTCAGTGGCTTCTAGGGATTAGGACAGGAGACATGAATAGGCAGAGCAATGACACTATATGATACCATAACAGATGCATGTTACAATACATTTGTTCAAATCACAGAATGTACAAGACTAAGAGTGAACCTGAATATAAACTCTGAACTATGGGTGATTATGATGTTAGCTAATGCAGCAAATGTACCACTCTAATGATAAAGGAGAAGGTTGTTTATGTGTAGAAACAGGGGTACTATATGCAGTCTCTACATCTCCACCAAATTTTGCTCTGAAGCTAAAATGATAACCTACATCTGAAAAGTCATGAATATATACTCTGAATTCACATACAATGTTGTAAACCATGTTATCTCAATAAAAACAATACAAACTTAAATCTGTGATTTCTTAATTAAAAAAGATTAACTGAATTACCATGTGCAGGAACTCAGTGATCAAGCATTTTACTCAAGGTTAACACACTTAATTAAATTGAATTTCTGCAAAGTAACTGGTATATAGACATTTGAATTATTCTTAAGTCTATCATAGTTATCCTTGTTAAATAATTTTTATTCTGAGAGGTTTACACAAATGGGAATATGTCAGTGACCCAGATTTTAAATGTAGAAAAATAAATCTGATCCTAAAAGACTCTATCTGAGTCAAAATTGCAATCTTTCTGAAAGTTAAGTCAATGTTGAACTTTCATTTTAGACTACAACGTAACAACATCAATTAACCTCATATCTAGTAACCCATTAATTAAAAAGCACTTTTATGTTGAATCTCAGAACATTTTCCTTATGTGTCATTATTTTTTTTACTTCTAGAACAATAAACTATTCTAACTGATAAATACCTTAACAATTTCTTTTTTTATATTCTAATGCATGAAATTTCAAATAGAACATAAATTTTTCTTCTCCAAAGTAACAACTAACTTCCTAATTTTATATACATTGTTAAAACCCATATGCAATAAGAGATGATTTGAGAAATAATCCCACTCTATGAAAGCTGACAGCAGTGTGCAATTGTGTGACATGGCAGGTAGATTTTTTTCTTTAGCTTAAGTTTGAAAATAAAACTATGTTTTTTCCATAATGTTGGTTGAAGTCAGGAATGTGCTTTTACTAAAAGATCTTAACTTGTTTCAAAAGCAGTGTACTGGGCCTTCCCTAGTGGGGCAATGGATTAATGCACAATGAGGCTATCCACAGCCACTTCTAGTCTATCTCCAGCCAGGGAAGTGACCCACATGATGCAGGAAACATCTCATGACCCGCTCACTGCTCCCCTCAGCAGTATATTTCAGTCAATCTGACTGTTCTGCTCCCCACTTTGTCTGGTGAATCCAATCACCCTGGCATCTCTGTCCTGTACCCCACTACTTGTATGCATAAATTAAATAAATCTTTTTTTTTTTTTTTTGAAAAAGCGTTATGGCCCTCCCTGGTGGCACAGTGAATTAAAGCACAGCACTAAGAAGCTAAAGCCACTTGAGCATGAGTTCGATTCTCACCAGC